CGTAGATTTGCGGTGACTTGCATACTAATAGCGCTCCCTACTGGAGAAGCTTCAGACAAGTGATTTCCAAAGCTGTGCTGACATGCTTTCCACACTAAAACAAGGTGTTTTCCATTGTTACAGCAGTGTTTTCATAATTCAGCTAACCGGGACACTTAATCTGTACAGAAAATACTGTATATCACACACACAGACAAAGTGGGGAGTTGTCCTCTACCAGAGCTTTTAAAGGGCCCATTATTACTCAGTATTTACGAGGAAAAAGGGAATGAAACATTGTGTACATTTCATTTAACATTATTTATCACCTTTTTCTGAGAACACTGGCTGTAGACGAGGATCAGAGGAACTTCCTCTTAGAGTTAACTTAGGTGATCTATGCAAACATCCAGTCATTTTAGCTAATTTTTTTACTGCAGCAAGTCACTTTCGAGGCAAGATGAAGTTCCAAAGCACATCGGCATTCATTTCGATTTCATTAACGTAAAGTCAGTTAAGGGGAATCTGTGCAGTAAAGCCAGCATTACAGTGCTTAGCAGAGAGTAATAACACAGGCAGTTTCTTAACACACCTCTCTCTCTCTCTTAGTCTCTGCGTGAGGCTGTACACTTCTTAAACATGAGCCCCAGTTTCCCAGTGTATTTTTCAAGCTGTTTGATGGTCAATTAGTTCTTTCTAATTGTCTCTCAGTTCTTTTACCAAAACAGCGATTATCACTTTCAACACATCACCATTGGGTTATTTATCCATCATTGACAATATCTGATTACATCACCCTATCGCCCAGGCCTAGATGACTTAAGACTTCTTAATGGCGTGTAAATGTAAAAAGGTACACATGAGGCAACACAGTGGCTTTCATTGTGCATTCTCGTTTCTTTCCTTGTATACTTTCTGTAAAGATTTGCTACCTGACCCAAGCCTGTCAGGTATGACATGGTATCGGGCCTGGTTTGGGCTGATTTTTCACCTACAATATTGGCTCAGTTCAGGCTTGAGCTGCATTCAGATTAGTTCCAGAATTTGAGGAGTGGGTGAACATGCCCCTGAATGAAACCAGGGATGAAGATCAACATTTCTATTCATCACAGTCACACCTCACACACATGAAGAGTGAGAGTGAAGTGTTGGATTGGTGAAAAGGTCACAACAAATCTTTCCCCTGCTTGTTAAGGTCACCCAAAGAGTGTTTAGCACACCTGCAAGTAGCAGCTGTAGTGAGAGGAACTTGAGCATAGTGGGGCTGTTCACTGACAGGTATGATCAACAATTCCACAAAATATATGGATAATAAATACATTCTATTTATAGTGCATTACAGATCTGTAAAATATCAGTTTGTCCCTGAGTGGCATTTCTGTGAATCCACTCAAGAACTTAGTAATAAAGAAAGCACTGTAAAACTGTGCCTGTGATAATCCGTCTCTATTAGCGCATACAAGCAGGTTCTCAACTTCATACGAGTCAGAGTGGAGTCTTGAGTCTCTGGGTGTCTGAGTTGAGTCTCGAGTCTTTAGTAGAGACTATCAGTCTCATTATTAGCTACACCTGTTTGACAGCTTTAAATAACAAGCCTTTCATTACCACAGACATACGTCATGTAATATGCTGAAAAGACTTCCTTATTGGATGAATGTGCATTTCCTCTCTCCTTGATTCCTCTGAGCAGGTTTTAACAAGTGATACATCCTTAAAGATGGTGGACTTCGATCAGTGCTGAAGGATGGAGGAGAGAGGAATCAAGGAGACATCAGTTAAAATTATGAGATCCAGCCTGAGTCACTCAGCAACACTGACAAGATTAGAAAATACCTGAATGAAATGAAAGAGAAGTGTGTAGGTTTAGTATCAAAGTCATCTGGTATCGATCCAACACTAACACACACAGCTTTACACACACATTAGCACAGGTTCATCCGATTCTCTGCTGAAAATCAGTGTGTAAATCTGAAAATCTGAGTCTCTGAATCTGTCTGTGCACAAATCATCTGTAAATCCACACAAATCAACTTTCTTTTAGCTCTTAATACTTACCTAACACAGGTTGTACTAACAAAATTGTAATACACTGCACTGGTCTGTGTGCATGTACTCACACAAATGTCTAGAATTATAATATATTATATATTGTATATATGATTATATATGAGCTGATGTGTGTCTCTGCTGTAGGACTGAATATCCTGATAAAGACGGAGCTGAACTTTTCTGAAGACTCTGAAAGACTCTGAAGACTGACCTCAGACACAGGTAAGTGTCTGTGTAGAAATATGAATGGGATTTAAATCACACTGGAAAATGATCTAGAAGACAAACCAAACATACACATGTACTTAATAAAGAGCTGACATGCTTGTTGTCCTAAAATGACAAAATATGATTTAAAGAGATTTTTAAAAATATAAAATATACAAACCCAAGCAGAGAGAAATGTAACCAAGACAACTGGCTTGGGGAATCTTACAATGTTACTAATAATAATAATGGCTAGTAGTGTTGGCTACCTAGTGAATTCACTATGAAGTGATCATTCCAAAACTACAACACACTGTGCAGAATAGCCATGGTCAGACTGATTAATGATGGTCAGCTCAAGTGAAAATCTGGATATTATTTAATAACTGTGATAGGATGAACTGTCAGGACAGGGATTTTCTGACCTTTGAAAGATGTTCCAGCACAGCACATTCCTGAATCACATATTCTCTAAATAAAACAATTTAGCCAAAGTCATAATGTGTTAAACAGATTTTCTGCTTTGCATATTTGCAGTGTGTTTTCACAACAGCGGTACTGACTACTTTAAGTAAATGCATCTGTGTATCTCAAACTACAGGCCTGTCACCAGTGGTTCTGTATTCAGACCTCTGAGGTTCTGTTCTGCAGGATTGTTCATCATGAACGTTACTACTCACCCCATCACGGTCTTTTCACATTCATGCTGTGTGGAGAGAGAGTGAAAGAACAAAACCTCCAGTTTTCAGAAAAGTTTCTACAGCTAGACCGAGGGGCCCAGTTCCAGTCCTGAGGACCCCATACTGTGCAGAATTTCCCCTTCTGAATTAAAAAGGTTGTGTTGGTTCCTGTTGGTGCCCAATAGTCACTAATGGTATTCTGTGTTTTCCTGAGGGGCTGATATCACAGTGCAAAGGATTCTAATCGCTTGTTCTGGAACTGATTCCAGATGGTTTCCTATTGGGATCTAAAGGTGTCCTACAATAAGCAGGAAACTAGTGGTCTCTAATGATATCCATTAAGCCAATTCCCATTAGAAAGCAAATCCATCAGGTTTTAATCTTAGTGGTTCTAAAGGTCTTGTATTAGCAGGGTCATATTTTCTCTTATCTACCATTTGATTCAACTAATTGACTGTTTAACGCTTCTCATGTGCTCAATCATGATTTAAGTAGAGAAAACAAAAAGATGAGCAGATCATGTGGTCCTCAGGACCAGGACTCGGACTAGAGGAACAGCTGAACGTCTCTCTTTCTCTCTCTCTCTCTCTCTCTCTCACTCTCTCTCTCTCTCACACACACACACACACACACACACACACACACACTCACACACACACACACACACGCACTACCCTGAATTACAGCAGATCAGCATCCAAGCACATATGCTGGGCTTTATAAACCCTTGAACAGCGTCTTTCCTTCAACAGTTCAGCTCCTGTTTCTGTTCCTCCAACAGCGCTGTAGGAGCGCAAGGGCTGGACTGCAGATCTTCTCCACTTCATTAGAGCGGGAGAAGCTCACTCAGAGAATTAGCACCCCCTCCTGCACCGCAGGGGGCTTCACACCGAAACACCTCATCACAGGAGCTGACAGATCTCACTCAGCTCCACACTTCGAACGAGTCTCTCACAGCCAATCAGATCCGACCTCGGCTTTTAGCGCAGACAAATGGTTCTGAGAAACGGCTGATATATACCCACCCACCAGAGGGCTGAAACAGCAGAGGCGTATGGAGCACCAGATTTGCCAAATTGAAAAATAAATCAAATTAAAAACTAAATGGCTCAGTAAATTAATCAATAAATAAAAAAACCTAAATAAAGTATATATTGCTTATTGTGATTGTAATTATACACATTTCCTTTTTCTGCAGTTACATATTTAGATTTATTTATTTCTGTTTATTATTTTGTTTTATTAATGCCATTTTTATATTTTTCCCATATCTATATTTTTAACAATTGTTCGCTTTATTCTTTGATTCATTTATTTAACTTTTTTTATTTATTTATTTATTCATTAATTCATTAATTTATTTCTGTATTTCTTCGTTCATATGATAATGAGGGGGCGTGTTTTCCACGTTCAGGCTTAGCAATCAAGACCAGGAGAAGAGCCGGTAAAACTGCTCTTTCACCAACTCCATAAAGAGCTGCAGTGCCACGAACAGACACACCTGCAGATAAATAACTCTCGATGGCTTCTACAGGCCGTGTGTGAGAAGAGCATCCAAATGTCTGAGTTTGATCGGAATTTTGCAGAAAAAGACGCTGAACCACCTCCTCCAGAGTTCTGAACACTACAAGGGTCGACCTCTGAATTAGCAGAGGCAGCAAAATGGCGCAAACTGTCCTCCACAGCCTCCAACGGAAGAGTCAATAATCCGGACCTGCATTTTCAGACAGATCACCCGAGACTCTCAGATCTCCGACTGTCTGCTGCTGTAAGAAGCCATTATTGTGCTGTCTTGTGCTTAGTTCCCGCTGAGAGAGCAAGACGTGAACAATCGATCTACAGAGTCTGACATCGATCAACCAATAAGAATATTAAGACGCTGTGACATCATTGACTGACAGCCCCTTTATTAGCATAAGGACAAGGAAATACAGAAATAAACAGAGAAATAAATAAACATAGAAATGAATAGTTATGGAAATAAATTAATAAAATAAATTAATAGAAAAACAGAAAAAAGTTAATAACGAAACATAAATAACAAAAAAAAAATAAATAAATTGTGAGAAGCGGAGGAGAGCCGGAGGAAAAGAGACTCTAGAGAGAGAGGGAAACCGAAAGTAACGTCACTCAGAAGCCGTTATAAACGGAGAGAAGATTCACTCGGTAAGTTCATCGCTGATGGAAATCTCTGCTGTAGATTAAAGCAGGAACACTTTTTTCTGTGTTTCACAGATACTAAACTGTTCTTTCAGCTGAACACATTAAATTTACTCTACAGCGGTTACTCAGTGACCGATCACTGAAACATGAGACAGACATCCGGTCAGATGGCCGCGAGTGTGTTTGAGTGAAGGTCTGAATGTATAAACGCTATAAACCGAGCGGCGAATACAGATATAGTCGCATTTAACGCCGATAGCTGTGCGTTTGAGTGAAGGTCTAAATGTATAAACGCTGTAAACCGAGCGGCGAATACAGATATAGTCGCATTTAACGCCGATAGCTGTGCGTTTGAGTGAAGGTCTAAATGTATAAACGCTGTAAACCGAGCGGCGAATACAGATATAGTCGCATTTAACGCCGATAGCTGTGCGTTTGAGTGAAGGTCTAAGTGTATAAACGCTGTAAACCGAGCGGCGAATACAGATATAGTCGCATTTAACGCCGATAGCTGTGCGTTTGAGTGAAGGTCTAAATGTATAAACGCTGTAAACCGAGCGGCGAGTACAGATATAGTCGCATTTAACGCCGATAGCTGTGCGTTTGAGTGAAGGTCTAAGTGTATAAACGCTGTAAACCGAGCGGCGAATACAGATATAGTCGCATTTAACGCCGATAGCTGTGCGTTTGAGTGAAGGTCTAAATGTATAAACGCTGTAAACCGAGCGGCGAATACAGATATAGTCGCATTTAACGCCGATAGCTGTGCGTTTGAGTGAAGGTCTAAGTGTATAAACGCTGTAAACCGAGCGGCGAATACAGATATAGTCGCATTTAACGCCGATAGCTGTGCGTTTGAGTGAAGGTCTAAGTGTATAAACGCTGTAAACCGAGCGGCGAATACAGATATAGTCGCATTTAACGCCGATAGCTGTGCGTTTGAGTGAAGGTCTAAGTGTATAAACGCTGTAAACCGAGCGGCGAGTACAGATATAGTCGCATTTAACGCCGATAGCTGTGCGTTTGAGTGAAGGTCTAAGTGTATAAACGCTGTAAACCGAGCGGCGAGTACAGATATAGTCGCATTTAACGCCGATAGCTGTGCGTTTGAGTGAAGGTCTAAGTGTATAAACGCTGTAAACCGAGCGGCGAATACAGATATAGTCGCATTTAACGCCGATAGCTGTGCGTTTGAGTGAAGGTCTAAGTGTATAAACGCTGTAAACCGAGCGGCGAATACAGATATAGTCGCATTTAACGCCGATAGCTGTGCGTTTGAGTGAAGGTCTAAGTGTATAAACGCTGTAAACCGAGCGGCGAATACAGATATAGTCGCATTTAACGCCGATAGCTGTGCGTTTGAGTGAAGGTCTAAATGTATAAACGCTGTAAACCGAGCGGCGAATACAGATATAGTCGCATTTAACGCCGATAGCTGTGCGTTTGAGTGAAGGTCTAAATGTATAAACGCTGTAAACCGAGCGGCGAATACAGATATAGTCGCATTTAACGCCGATAGCTGTGCGTTTGAGTGAAGGTCTAAATGTATAAACGCTGTAAACCGAGCGGCGAATACAGATATAGTCGCATTTAACGCCGATAGCTGTGCGTTTGAGTGAAGGTCTAAATGTATAAACGCTGTAAACCGAGCGGCGAATACAGATATAGTCGCATTTAACGCCGATAGCTGTGCGTTTGAGTGAAGGTCTAAATGTATAAACGCTGTAAACCGAGCGGCGAATACAGATATAGTCGTATTTAAAGCTGATAGTTGTGTGTTTTCAGAGTGCATTACTGAAGAATCAGGTAACTCTGCTCTCAACTTTAAAGACTCTGAACACTGACCTCAGAATCAGGTAACTCTGCTGTCAGCTTTTAATGGATATTATTACTGATTTACTGCTTGTTTTTGCCTTTCAGAGTGAAACAGACTCTCAAACTGAACTGAGGTTAGAGAGATGAAGTTTTCAGTTCAGTGAGTTGTGGTTATTTGCTGAAATGTCTACATAGGCAGTTGAACAATTCTGGTGTTTCCCAGTTCTGATTGTTATATTCTGTAGGAGTTTTTTATGTAATGTTTCACAGAATGTTTCTTTGCACTGTGTATATTTGGAGTTGGAGGCAGCACAAAAATCTTCTTTAAATTCTGATTCTCATTGTTTAGTGTTCTATCATTCCTTTTGTTCTGAAAGGAATGATATGCAGGGGCAAATTAAAGCATGGGCTGAAGCCCTGGGGCCCAGAGTAATTCAGGGCCTCTAACTGTCCGTTTTTTGTTTTGTTTTATTTTGTTTTTTTTGGGGTTTTTTTGTGAGTTATTTATTTTCCTTCCACTACCTGGGTCTGTCCAGATTAATCACAGGTCTTGGGGAAATTTGATTTGTTTTCTGTGAGCACTGTCACTTTATTATACCCAATCAAATCATTACACTCTCCGCCAAGCTCTCCGTCTTCTCTTCTAAGCCCTCCATTCAGTGCACAGCAACCTTTGCTAGCCACCATTGTCTCAAGCCTTCAGTTCGTTCAGCATGTGAGTGTTTGAATTTGAAGCTCCAGTCGGGCAGAAAGATGGAACTAGAGATGTTTAAAAGTGAGATTCTGTCCTAAAAAATAAAACAGTTACTACTTATACAAAGCTGAAAAAAATCCATTTGTTTTCTGTGAATTTTGTACTTATAATGCTCTATTGTTAAAAAGGCTAATGTGGGCTTTGTGAAAATGTCAAAGCAGACATCTAACATAACTTCAGTGCATTAAAGTAAGATATGAATGGATCATAAATATTTTTCATTCCTGCTGTGGCAGTGTGCTTTAGCCTACAGTAAATAAGTTTAGGTTTTAAAGTTTACTGTGTTGTTTTGTCTGATTTTATATCAGTAATGTCATCTTCATTGGGCAAACATGGCTGTAGTGAGCGGACGCATGCTTTATAGTGAAGGGTGCTGCAGTGTTGATTGTGTTTATATGAATCCAGTAATCTGGTTGATTGTTATTGTTTTGTATTACCATAGAGCAGATGTGGTGGATTAGGTAGGGTGATGACTGTATGTCTGGAACAGGCTGAAGGCTGATGTTGTGACATTGCAGAACATTAGCGTATTTGGAAATGGGATTTACCAAGTTGGCCTTCCCACTTTTTTCACAGGCTTACCCAAAAATGTATTTCTGCCTAGGCCACTCGACCAAACTATAGACTATAGCTTGTAATAAACCTCAGTTGTTTTGGTGAATGATTAATGGTAATGTTAATGGTTTTACCAAGTAAACTCTACCACACACTGCTGGAGAAGCACAGCATGACACACAGCTATAGCACATATTTTCATCTCAAGTTCAGGATATGTTTAGATTTTTATATTAAAACTTACTGAACTTGTACGGTTTTAACGGAATAAAAGTTGTTCAAACATCAATTTTGATAAATTTAGTTCATCATGTTTGGTATCAGCTAACAAACTCGTCTCAAACTCGCTGTTTTTAAGCCAAAAGGTATGAGTGAGGTGGAAACTGGCTTCCTGTTCGCCAACTTCTTATTCAAATTTTCCATTCCTCCTTAAATGGTTTCATACATAACATTTGAAAAAACTGGATAATAAGAAAGTATCTTCATGTTTTGGATGCTGTGTGCAAATAGACCAATAGGGCCCACAAGCTGGTTAAAGTGCGTCTCATGATAAGTCAGAGATATTCTGATACAGTAGAAGAGGAGTCTGGGTGTAATTATCTAAATTACCTTTAAATTTTAAATTACACTGTGTAGAATAACAGTGATTTGTGTGAAGAACACTAGTGGAGCTGTTCAGCCATCACATTAATCCTGACTGCCTTTTCAAACTACTAACCAGAAAACATTGTTGAGCTCAGTAAAGCCGCACTCAGAGACCAGTGTAGCAGTCAGGTTGGTTTTCAGTAGTTCTACAGCAGATTTTTAGGGCTTCCAGTTAAAAACATGACCACTGAAACACACCATGTGTGTCCCTGTATGTATCATTTTTGAATAAGCAATCTCATAATTCTGTTCAGTGAATCATACAGCATTTTATCAGAACAAAAGCTTGTATCTCCAAAAAAGTAAAAAACGCAGCTCAGTGCATTCGCAGCTCAGTGCATTTACGGCTCAGTGCATTTACGGCTCAGTGCATTCACGGCTCGGTGCATTTCCAGCTCAGTGCTTTTACGGCTCAGTGCGTTTACAGCTCAGTACGTTCACAGCTCAGTACTTTTACAGCTCAGTACATTCACGGCTCAGTACTTTTACGGCTCAGTACTTTTACGGCTCAGTGCATTCACGGCTCAGTGCATTCATGGCTCAGTACTTTTTACGGCTCAGTGCATTCACGGCTCAGCGCATTTACGGCTCAGTACTTTTTACGGCTCAGTGTATTTATGGCTCAGTGCGTTCACGGCTCAGTGCATTTACGGCTCAGTGCATTTACGGCTCAGTGCATTTACGGCTCAGTGCATTCACGGCTCAGTGCATTCACGGCTCAGTACATTCACAGCTCAGTACATTCACAGCTCAGTACATTTACATCTCTCTCTCTCTCTCTCTCTCTCTCTCTATCTCTCTCCCCTCTCTCACTCACACACACAGAGTTAACACATTTCAGGTAAACTGTATTTTGGAACTCAGAAGAGTTAAACTGGTTACTTTGATCTTTCATTTAAAGCCTGAACTGCAGCCACAGAATGTGAATCACTACTGACAACAACTACATCCTCTCTCTCCCTCTCTCTTTCACTTTCTGTCTTTCTCTCTCTCTCTCTCTCTCTCTCTCTCTCTCTCTCTCTCTCTCTCTATCTCTTTCTCTCTCTCTCTTTCTCTCTCTTTCTGTCCTCTCTCTCTCTCTCTCTTGCTGTCTCTCTCTCTTTCTCTCTCTCTCTCTCTCTCTCTCTCTCTCTCTCACTTTTTCTCCCCTCTATTTCTCTCTCTCTCTCTCTCTTTTTGTCTCTCTCATTTCAGTTCGGTTCAGAGACTCACTGTCTCTCAGGTGGTGGCATGT